CGGCTCTCTCGCCGTCGTCGAAACATCACCGCCGCTACCGTTTTCTCGTTAATTGGCTCGGGGGAAAATAACTGTTAACGTTTAAATGGCCCGCGGCCGCGGCAGTGCTTGTTCCATTCGCGCGAGATCCGCGCGCGGTTATATCGTGTATGCGAATGTATAATAACGACAACAATAATAATAATTTCATAATGAAAATTTAATCGCGTACACTTCACGCGGCTGCCTCTCTCTCTCTCTCTCTCTCTCTCTCTCTCTCGAGAGAGAGAGAGAGAGAGAGAGAGAGAGGGAGAGAGCGACCGATTCGAGCGCACAAATATCCCCGGCTAGATTGCGAAGATTAATTAGAAAACGGAGCCAGCTTGGGCGAAGGAACGCGGGGTTGCCAGGGTCGCGACGGCGGAGTTGAAGGTCCGGGCGCAGCGTGACCGGCGGGAAGGAGAGAACGCACGTGTCCGGACGCACACGGCGAAGACGACTGGTGTATCGATTGGTCGGCAGGGGGTGGCGAAAACCATAAGTGCACGCGCGATGCTTTGTCGCCGATAAATACGCACGCACACATGGGAGACGGCCGCGTCTCACTCATCGCTTTGTCTCGCACCGTCGCGAAATGAAATCTCGCGCTTTTCGCGCTCGTCGCGAATTGCATTCTGATCAGTCAAGAGGGAGACGCCTTTCGCCGACGGTTCTCGCGCTCCCAGCGCAGCAGTGCTTCGTATTGTCTATCGCACATTTCGCGCGAATATTCGCACCCCGCGTCGGCCAAGGGAGCGAAGAGGTCGGAAAAGGGCGGCGAGAGGAGGGAGAGACTTTTCCGGCAGGGTCCGATAAGGTTGCATCCGCGCGAAAATCACGCGGCTCGCGCCACGCCGGGCGGCGGCGTAAAAGCAGGCCGTGCCGTGACATTAATTTTCGCGTTAACTCTCGTCGCTCGTTTGCAAACTATATTTTTATCTCGATATAATAGGCGCGAAAGGGGGACACACGTCACTCACGCCATCGGCGTCACCTTCGCGCCCCCGACGTCATGAGCGTGATCGCGAGGGGTCGCTCGATCGTGAATTATGTGTCGCTGAGAAATTGTTTGCAGTCAGCCGGGCTGACACGCGACGCCCCGACCCTGTTCGTGACACACGTGCGTCGGAGATAACGGGACGGGCGCGAAATTTGTTATCGCGTTGTCTAATAACGTCGTATGTATGTATGTATATACCGTATATAAGGGGTGTGCGTCAACCCTGATCAAACGTTCTTTCTTTCGGCCAATTTTGTCGTTCCCAACTCGCTTCTCAATTCTCTCGCATTTCCTCTCTTTCTTTGTCTCTCTTTGTGTCTCGCCCCGTAATTCGCTCTTTTCGCCGAAAAGCCATGGCTCTCCTCTCTCTCTCTCTCTCTTTCGCGCGCGCGCGCGCGCATCAAAGTTGCATGGCGCAATTCCGGGACGATTGCATCGTCCGAGCGGCGTCCAAGAGGCGATATACCGTCGCCGCTCTCGGGCGACGATTTTTATTAACGACTGACCGCCGACGCAAATAAAAAACCGACGCCGACGCCAACACGGGCCGCGCGGTGGAACGGAAAAAATTATTCATACGTCTTTCAAAAGAGAGAAAGAGAGGGAGGTGCGCGCGCGCGCGGAAAGCGACGGAAGACCGTTTGACCCGCGCTCTCTTTGTTTTTTTTTTTTTCCATTTGTCAGTACACGTCGATCGGCCAATAATTGATGCCCTCAACCGGCGAGAAGTCTGGTTCACAGGATGCTTTTACCGTCATCCGCGATATATACGAACAACACGAAAAGATCTCAACAGTCACACGAACAATTTCACTATATTTTTTAAGGATGCAAGGAAAATAAAGATTTGGTAATACTGCCGCGCAATGTTCCCCGGAACAATACCGCGTAAATGACGGATTCATCCAACTCGATAGATCGACTCCTCCTCGAATAGAAAAACAGTCAATTCGACGCCGAAAAATGTGATTTCTAACTTCTTAACCGTAAACACAACGATGTTAGGACAGATAAACTTAAACAGTACAAGACGTAAGCGGTAAAAGAATTGACGAAATCGATTATTCTTCTAGTCCAAAAATATCCAACTGTGACAGATTAATTTGTCTACTGTTTATGTTTTTCCATCCCCGCTTCTCAGCGGGAAAACGCTCGTTCGAGTCGATAAATAAGTAGCCCGACGTATCTGATTAGTTCCGCTCCTGCCGATCGAGGCTCGCCGTGTTTTAATTCGTCGCGGTGCGTCTGTATTCCGCGGCAAATACGGCACCCATAGGTGGATAGGAATGATCGAACGTAATGCGAAAGCAGGGTTAGTCGCGCGTGCTGTCATAAACTGAACACCCGGGGGGGATTAGAGGCGATTTAGCCCGCGAGATGCACGCGCGTTATCGGGCGCAGCCTCAGGTGCTGCAGCTACTTCGAGTTAAGTCGGCGCTGTCACGCGAGGCGCGCGTTACGTGTGTCATTGGTAATTGCTTGGATTTCACGTCGGCAAATGCGCGCGCGACGCCGAATATCAATCTATTCCCGGCAAATGCGGTCGCCGGCGCTGCCTTGGCCGGGCTAATATTAGAGCTGCATCGCGCGCCGCTCTCTCTCTCTCTCTCTTTCTCCCTCCCTCCCTACCCACCCTCCTCTCTCTCTCTCTCTTCTCTTTGATTAACGAAGTTAAATCACGCGTTCGTGCGAGGCGATCGACCGTCGCCTCGAGAACGCTTCTCGCGCGTCAATCGTTGGCGGAATAACGAAATAAAAGAGCGGTCGACGGCGGAATGACGAGAAACGCTTGAATTTCGAATGGCGACAAATCGCCGATCGGCGCAAGCAGTGCGCCGCGCGAGGATTAAACTTTCAAACTTGATTACTGCCGCATCGACGCGCCGGGAAGTCCGCGATTTTACGATCATTCATCCCCGACGAGCGTCGGCGAGCACAAGCTGTGTGTGCTCCGCTTTCGCGGCCCGGCCAATTCGTTCCGAGCTGCACCAGCGCGACTTGTTTAGCTCCTGGGGAAACGCGAGCGAGAGAATCCGCGCGCGCGGAAAAGCGCTGCGCAAATGTTGCCGTTCGTGGGCTACTTGAAGCGCGACAAGGCGTGCGAAAAGCTGTCGAGGACCTGGTTAAGAGGACCTGGTACTAACGCCACTCGATTTTCCTCCCTTTTCTTCCTTTTCCGCGGGCCCGTCTCATTATTCGCAATCGGGCAATCATGCGCGATCTGTTTCATCGAGACTTCGATTTCGCGTGTCTGATTGAATCGACGCGCGCATGGTTTCATCCGCGGTCGCTTGATATGATGAGAATGCACGGAAATTTCGCGAGATTTTTTTAGCCAAAACGCACCGAGATCTCGCGATAATATGTGCCGAATCGAATCTAAAAGGGAAGGATGTGCAAGGATATTTACAGCGAGGACGTTCGCACGAGATAAGTAATGAAATGATTGCAGAGTGCCATTGGTAATATTTAAGACTCCGAAATGAATCGTTTATCAGTCGGTCGGAGCTTGCCGACGATATGTAATAATAATAATAATAATCAAATATATATAATGCAGATACATATAACCGCATTTGCCGGGAATAGAACATAAAGATGTGTCACGTAATATTGGGTTGGCAACTAAGTGATTGCGGATTTTAAATAAGAATGAAAATTCAAAATTTAAAATTTGCTTTTTAAAATTTTTTTCAATGCATGTATGCGATACAGATTGAGCTTCTCTGCAATATCACGTGTTGTGCTATGACGATCTGAATCGATAATGGCCTTGATATGGGTCTCATCGACTTCAACTGGACGGCCAGATCGTTGAGCATTTTTCAATGAAAAATCACCAGAACGAAATCTGGCAAACCAATTTTGACACTGCCTTTCTTTCAAGGTTTCATTCCCATATACGGCACATAACTTCTTGTGTGCTTGCGATGCCTTCTTGCCTATTCGGAAATAATACAATAAAATATGTCTGAAGTGCACGTCTTGCTCTTCTATTTTTAAATTGGGATGAAAACAAAACTAAAGAACTAATCGATATAATTTTTGTACTAAATGAAAGGTACAAGTCCAAACAATAAGAAAAAAATATAGGTTAGGTACTTTGAACACGTTAACGAAACAAAAGAAAGTGTAAAATCCATCTGTCGACAAAATCCGCAATCACTTAGTTGCCAACCCAATAAAATTTTCAGTCTGACATTCAGCCCACGATGATATGAGCTATATCTCGTCGAGCGAGATATATTATTATCAAAAATATCGTTATTCTCTTTAGGGGTAAATAAAGGATAATCATAAGGCGCGATTCGCAAGTGACTAACGCTCCGAAATAGTTCGGGGTAATCTCCCGGCCGGCTGGAGCTTACCGGCGAGGTGTAGTAATAAGCAAGTACATATATAAATATATAAATATATAGAGAGTAAAAATATAAAATTTTTAGCCCCTGACATATTCGCGATGATACGCGCGACAACGAATCTTGTCGAGCGAGGTGCATTATTATCAAAAGCGTCGTTGGTTTTACGACGTAATTGAAATAATTGTAAAGCACATTTCGTGAATAAGCAAGGCTCCGAAACAGTTCGGGATAAATCCCGGCCGGCCGGAGCTTGCCGGCGAGATATAATAATAAGCAAGCGCGTGTGACATAAAAATATATAGAGAGTAATAATAAAATTTTCAGCCCCTGACATTGCCGCGATGATACGCGCAACAGCGGATCTTGTCGAGCGAGGTGCATTATTATCAAAAATGTCGTTGGTTTTGCGGCATAACTGAAATAATTGTAAAGCACATTTCGTGAATAAGCAAGGCTCCGAAACAGTTTGGGATAAATCCCGGCCGGCCGGAGTTTGCCGGCGGTGTATCATAATAATCAAATATGTGTGCATGTATGTAATACAAATATAAAATATGATAAAATATACATGTATATATATATATATATATATATTCGTTTCGGCTAAATCCCATCTCCTCTTTCTCTCTGTGTTACAGTGGCTCGGTCTGGGCATTATGGGGGTGGGTGTCTGGGCATGGACCGAAAAGGACACCTTCAACAACCTGTCCCGCCTCACAAACATCGCGCTCGATCCAGCATTTATCCTTATTCTAGTCGGTGAGTACCGCTGCTTTCCTCTCCCGTGCCATTTTCCTCCTTTCCTCGCCCCATTTGCTCTCTCGCGTTCGCCTCACGACTTTCGGAAGCTCGTATATGGCGAGTTAGGATGACTTGGAGTGTCGCCGGCCTAAAGGCGCGAAGGACTCCACGAAGGACGGTAAATCTTAATTACGACACGACAGCACGGCGAGGCGGCTCTCAGTCGGCCCCTTTCGTCGTCGTCGCCGCGATATCGGCCTCTCAACAATGTTATCGGACGACGCGAGAAACGCGCGAGTCGGGACGTTGAGCTAAATTAACGGGTAATCGAGTAAACTGAGAATTGCAGCTGCTGTTGGGGAAAACCGTCGCGCAAACTCTCCTCCGCGCGTCTTTAAATCCGTAATTCCCGAACGCTTCACAGATGCAAACGTTTCGGAAAATAAAATCACGATAATACTCAGCTTTTCATTCATCCTAGAGACGCACACATCGCGGCAAAGGGACGATCCCCGCACGTCGACGAGAATCTCGAAGAGAATTCTTTTTTGTGAATAAAAACTGCTAAGCGATTATTCATAATTTCGGGGCTAACATTGAAGGTCTGAATACCCGCACGGCGATAACGCGGTAATATACCATCAACTAAATTTCCCTTAGTGCGTATACGGGGCAGGGGGGGTGGAGGGTATTCGAGTTTTATAATTTTATACACGTGAAATCACTCGGTATCCACACAGGCGCGCGCGCGCGTTGCAACGCCCCGACATTTCGGTGTATGCGAAATTTTATTACTCGCACGCTCGGATAGTCGCGATGCGTTCACGCTCGGGTAATTGTGATGTAACGAGCACCGTATTTTCTACGTATCGCCCGACTTCCGAGCGCACACGCGCGCACAATTACGCGAGGCTCGTTACCGGTTAAATGCAAAAGCAAGTTCAGCCGGACAAACTGATTGCTCGGGCGAAAAGAAATAAATAAATAGAAATGGATTATGCAATCGCGCGACCAGGGAAAGCGCGGATTAACGCATCGTTAAGCGAATATACATACACGCGCGGCGTGTGATTACGCGCCAAATGACTCGCGTGAACCGATCCGCGCGGGGGGTGGCGACGAAATCTTCCCGAGACTCTCGTAAGAACAACCCCCGTACGGGACATGCCTGTCCCCGCGTTTCCCCCGTATCGATGATAATTGCAATTACCGTGGTTGGCCGCGGCGATTGGCCGCGACTGGCGGGCGGAACTTTATCGGAAATGAACAAGCCGCAATTAACAATTACGCGCTAATGTCGATTCTTTCTCCGCCCGGGCGGAAGCGGACGCAGCCGCGCGCGGGTTTATCGAGCAAACAAACAGCTCGCGCAACAATCGCGCTGGAATCGCGGCTGCAACGTAATGATAACACAACAAATAACATCGCGGAGAATTTCAATTAGCACGAGCGAGCGAACGCGCGCCCTCGAGAATCGAGGGAAAAGGATGATTACGAGGGGCGACGTCGCGGCTTGCGGAAACGGCAGTCTGCAGCCTGCTCGTGCGAGTAAATCGGACGGAACGACCGGTCGCAAAATGCAACGCAAGTGGCACGCTAACACGTATCAGTGAAAAGGGACGCGGAAGCGGCCGGCGGTGGAGAGCTCGCGGCGGGAAATGGCGTTTAAATCGATCGGATCTCGCGTCGACGAGAGATGCTAATCGCAGTGCTCCCTCGTCGCCGATACGTCTGTATTAATCGTTGGATATCGGTGGATAGACGATTCGCGATTGAAAAATCGGCGTTATTAAGGCGGCCTTATCGGCTACTTCGGTACTCGTACGTGACGTATTCGCAAGTTCGTGCGGTGACCTTTCTTTCTCGATCGATCAGCCTTGCAAACTACACACGCTCTTGTTTTCACGAGGATCGCGGCGGCGATCTCATCGCGCCGCAAATTACATCAACCATATGCGTGTGCGTGCGCGCATAATAAATTCGCGACGCGAATTTCGAGATGATCGCCGATTATTTGTTTATCGTCGACGAGCGCGAACATTGCTCGTAAGGAAAGAGCGGCCAATCGAAAAAGAAGTCAGTCGATTAGGGAAGTCTTTTCCGTGAAGGTATCGCAAATACCCATCACCATAAAAATGGCTTTTCTTTTCTGACTCACCGATACACAGCAGCCAGAGTCAGCCGCGTTCTGCTGCGGATCTGTAACAAAAAGTATAGTTTCGTTAGTTAAATCGTTAGGTTAGAAGTTTGGTTGAGTTCAGTTCGCGGAAGCGCGCGCGCAGATGCAAACGTTGACCTTTTGCCATCGTAATTCAACGGTTTTTATTTCAAACTCGGTTTTCGATCGCAATGAATCAAGAAGAAGTGTACAAACGATCGGTGAACCTCACCTTCAAGCTGACTCCGCTCGGCCCGAACCGGATCCTCCGGTGCGGCATCGGCGTCCGTCGAAACTGCGTCCCGGTAACCGCAACTACCGCGTGGCCGCAAACTCCAGCAGATCTGTAACAAAAAGCGAGTTTTCTCATTAGTATCGAGCGACGGCTCATTGGGAGCGAAATTTCGCGAATCGGGAAATAAACAAAGAAAAATGCGACGCGTTTTATTTCATTCCAAGCGGACTTTATTTCAATCGAGGGCCTCGTTTTTTAAACTTGTGAACAAAGGCTTCGAGCGTAAGAAAATTGTGTTTACACGACGTGTCTTTGAACGACGCGTTCACATTTTTGGTCGTAAGACTTTACAGATTTTTTGCCGATCAACGCCTCGCGATCGCGCGTCGCAGTGATGTGCTTTGGCAAGATTTTTTCCACGCACGCGCAGTAAGCAAACGCTTGCGAAATCTCTGCTGACATGTATATACTCCCACTAAATATCAGATATCGTTAGGGCCGAGCGTTAGAGCGTTAGATCGTTAGAGCGAGAAAAGGAGGAGGTGGAAAAAGAGAATTAGCAGGACAGAAGACATTTTCTATGAAAAAATAGAATACAATTAATAGTAACGGTATAAGAACGGTATAAAGAAATAGATTTTTTTTATTCATTACCTCTCTGCAGTCGATTTGTTATATGGTTTCCTCTTCTTTTTCTCCATGTCACTCGATATTGACGGCTGTGGATCATCCATTCTTCTTGTTCACTTTTTTCACAAAACTCGCCACAAAACATTTTCGCTGCACTACACTATACGTTACATTTCTGTCGCACAATACGGCTTCCGCGTGAAAGAAAATTTTGCCAAAGCACATCACTGGCGCGTCGCGATTCACCCGGAAAACTTGCGCGTGACGCAACTGATGGTGCCGCGATCGCAACCGAATGTGTCATAACCCACGCTCGAGACATGCCAAGGACGATTGTATTCCTCCCCTAACAAAGACACAAGGCGATACTCTTCCAATCTCAAAACGCTACCACTGCTTGCGATAGTCACAGCGCGGAAGCGAAGAAGCGCGATCGCGCGTCGCGATTCACCCGGAAAACTTGCTCGTGACACAAGCGATGTTATCGCGATCGCGACCGAATCTGTTATGACCCGTGACCGAGACACGCCAGTGTTGATATATGTCGCTTGTGTTTACGCGCGCGGCAAGGTCGGGCGTCCTTTGACGAGTCGAGTCGTGCTTACGAGATTTCCTGTATTCATTCCCCCCCATTCATCGCGCTGCGTTATCTCGAATTTAAAATCTACTTTTTCAACTCGTGTCTCCGCGATATACGCCGCGTGCTCCTGTAATGCGTATGTGTGTGTGTGTTTATGATTGTCAAATCTTAATAATTATAATTGACCTAGAATAATTTAATAATTTGGAATTTTAATATACGAGGGCAGTCTGAAAAGTTCTCGGCCTGACACATAGATGGCATTAGAAACCGTCAAATTATAATTGTATTGGAAGGTGGCATCCCTGATATAAACCCATGTAAAATTTTTTTTCGATTTGCCGAGTCATTCGAGTAGTAGCACCCAGTCTAATATTGACCTGTCACTGTCTTTTTTAAAATGGAAAAAATTGAATATCGTGCAGTGATTAAATTCTTTGTTTTGGATGGTTTAATACCAACAGAAATTCATCCGACATTGTTAAAAGTGTATAAGGATGCATCACCTTCATTTTCCACTGTGAAAAAATGGGCTGCTCCTTTTAAATCTGGTCGTACAAGCCTCGAAGATGATCCACGCGAAGGTTGTCGGCAAAAACTGCTACAACACCACAAAACATGCAACAAGTCCATGATATGGTGTTAGATGATCGGCGAGTGAAAATGCGTGAAATAGCTGAGGCCATAGGCATCTCAAAAGAACGAGTTGGAAATATTTTGCATGAAGAATTACATATGAAAAAGCTTTGTGCAAGATGGGTGCCGCATTTGCTAACAATTGACCAAAAATTCGAATGCGTATTTCTCAAGCGTGTTTGGATCGTTTTAAGCAAAATAGATTTCAAGCGTCGTTTCACAACTGTTGATAAAACTTGGATCCACCACTATACACCAGAGCGAAAAGAACAGTCGAAACAATGGATCGAAGCCGGTGGACGTGCACCAAAAAAGGCAAAGACGGTTCCATCAGCAGGAAAGGTTATGGCAACAGCTTTTTGGGATTACAAAGGTGTTTTGTTGATCGATTATCTTCAGAAAGACAAAACGATTAACTCTGAATATTATTGTAACCTTTTGGATCTATTGGATGCAAAAATTCGTGAGAAAAGACCTGCTTTAAAGAAGAAAAGAATCGTTTTCCATCAAGACAATGCACGTGTTCACACAAGTGTTTTGACAATGGCGAAATTCAACGAATTAAAGTACGAATTGCTTGAACATCCAGCGTATTCACCAGATTTAGCTCCCTCTGACTATTATTATCTGTTTCCAAACCTGAAAGAATTCCTGGCTGGAAAGCATTTTACATCAAATGACGAAGCTACTGCAGCCGTGGATGGATATTTTGCAGACCTTCCGGAATCACACTTTAATAAAAATATTGAATTATTGGAAAAACGTTGGAATAAATGTAT